AACTTTAAACATCCATGACTTAAACACTTTATCCAGGATAAAAGCCACATAGCTGCACCTGCAAGGTGAATACAGCTGGTAAAAGAAAAAGTGTTCGAATGCGTACATTAACAGGTTTATGATATCACTGCCCCGTCTAAGACACGAGTGGATCTGACTTTAATTACATTTGTCTCGAGTGTTTCGTCAACTTAATATGTTGCTTAAAATAATACTTCTGCATACAGTATGTGACACTGAGTGTTGCACGGCCAGATACGACTCAGATAAGGAAATATATTATACATTAAGATGTGATATATGAATGATAATGGGACACATCGACGTCTGCACTCACAGTGCCGCGGACTGTACGTAATGTTACTTTGATCCGGTTACTTATGTTGTGGCAGATATTTAAGTAAGCTTTCTTAGCACTAATGTTATAATACCCAGATTGCTCTGAAGATGGGAGGTGATATTCTATTAATGTTCACGTTCACACAGTCGGTGATTTTTGCCGGCCGTCTTTCCTGCAACGGCAGCTTTTCTGTATTTCCTTTCTCCTGTAATATGACTTGATAGCTTTAAACTCCGCACACGGAGCTCTGATTGGTCAGCAGGCGGTGCTTTCACTGAGTTGATCTCTTAGCCTGCAACCTAACCTGCTCGGGAGCAGGTTAGCCGCACAGCATAAGTTACCATGGAGATCTAGCCCGGTAAGAAGAGAACCAGCGTCGTAGGACCGGAAACCCAGAGTTTTCCCTGAAGTTAGCTCGATAAGCGAAAATCCGGTTTCGTCGTACAGGCCTCAGGTGTCATTATGGTGTATTGAACACAGGGTGTACCTTGTTGTGCAGTACTGAGGCCAGCTGGCCCTCGCTGCCCTGCAGCTCCTGGAGCAGGTCAGTGAGGGCGGAGCTGCACAGAGACTGGATCACTGGGGCAACCGGCTCCACCAACCAGCACAGCACCTGAAGAAGAGCGGGGACGGAGGATGAAGCTCCAAGCATTTCATAGTATGGCACAACTTTTTTTCATTCATCTACTCTCTTGATGTGGACGCATCAAAGCCCAGAACATCCTTAATAAAAAGGGGACCTTGATTAATGTAGGGATTACTGACCACTACAGCTGGGTCAGCAGAACATGTCAGAACCTTTAATTTTTAGTCAACATGTATTATTCGACCAACACTGGGTACAAAGTGCTGCCCAGCCAAACTGTGACTGTGCAGCTGTCAGCATAGCACCCAGTCACAATAAACCATCAAAAGCTTGAAATGTTATTATTTTCGTTGATATCGTCCTATTCATTGTTTTTCTGCAGGAAAACTGTCAGAATTATAACAACATTTTATTATAATATTTAAAAAAATCTTAGGATGAATAGTTTTAGTTATGTATTATTTATTTTGTATATGTTTCCTAGAGCTAGTGTTAGGAAGTTTTTTATATTGCTCTGAAAACTTCTCTAAAAATCTGTTTTTATTTTTACTCTCTTGAATTTTTTTTTACAAGAAAACAATTTGCAGAATAGTCATTTCTACTGAATAGTGGGTTCAATGTCTGCAAAACACATGTTCTTCTGTCTGATGGACGAAATTAGAAACCCTGCAATTCTGTAGAAAAGCAACTTCTGACATGTTTCAGAATCCACTAGTGTGACATCCTACTACATCGTAGGATGAATCGTAAGAGAGTAATTCACTTTGGATTTCTGGATAAAAATGGGTCCTGAGGCGTTACCTGGTCCTGCTTATCCTTCTTGGCCAAGGCAGGAAGGTTGCGGGAAATCGCCATGACAACGGCGGCAGCCTGGGGTGAAGGTAGGAAGGGGAGGAGCCTGGAGATGAGGCGCTTGCCCTTCCTCACTGACATGATCATTACACACTGCTCATCACTCACCCTAATCAAGAGGAGGAGAAAAAGAATGAGTGAGGAAAGATAGGCTCTCACATACTGCTGTGTAGCAAGAAGAAAAAGAACAAGGTTAGTCTACCTGTCGTCCCACTCCTTCTCCCGCAGAGTGTTGCACAGCTGCAGGGTTCGGCTCTTGTGCTGCTCCAGCAGAGCCTCCCTGTCCTCCTCCGGTGCCTGGACAAAACGCTTCTCAAAGTCTTGAACCTCCAGCAGCAAACTGTACATCTGGAGGACAGAGGTAGTTGGAGAGAAAAGAGTAAAACGTGTGTATTGAGGATTCAGATGGGTTTGCTGTTGATGAACATGTGCTACATCCGTCCTCGTCTTACCTTCTCCACAGTGTAGAGGATCTGTCGCCTCTTATTCCAAACCTGCTTCTCTCTTTTCTCCTGGGGGCAGACAGACACCAACCATAAGACTTCAAACCTGACCAGAGAGGATACTACAGAGACAATCAGCACTGAATAAGGTACAGAACTATTCAAACCAGAAAGAGCAGAACTACATGCAGGTGAGCCTTCAGCCCCCCAGATAATGGGGCCTCTAATACTTTTACACAAACATATTTACCATTGACCAATCATATGGCCAATAAGGCTTTCTGTCCATCCGACCAATGCCAGACCAGCCGCTCCTGCAGCTGCCTCACAGTGCCGTTACTGTGAAGCAGCTTCAGGAGGTATTCAGCTATACACACTGAATCTCTTCTACACCATGCCTCATACCGCGAACCTTCAATATAACCTCTTTGCTTCGTCTTATCCTTCTTACTAAAGAGTAGTTGTTTACTAGTTTTGTAGACTAAAACAGGAACATGCTAACAGACCTCGTCATCGGTGCGACTCGTCACCACGGCATCGATCATCTTGCGAGGGTTGTTGACGCTGGAGACCGTCAGCTTACCCAGAGAGCCTGCAAACTGAACTGCAGAGACACACATGTCAATATTCTCCAGCATTCTGATGAGGATCTATACATCACGTACTATAGAGGGGAGATCATATTATGGCCTATTACATTGCTTAGTTGAATACTCAATTCTATAGTACGTGATGTATAGATCCTCATCAGAATGCTGGAGAATATTGACNAATACATTATAGACGCATTTTGTAGTCATATTGCATATTAGAAACTGAGTTGGCGACACTAAGACTGCGATATAATGTATATGTAGCAATAATACATAACATATGTTTTTAAATGTCTCCTGTACCGATAAAAAAGAGCGATAACGTTGGAGCTTAACGGGGTGTAGAACACATGTGATGACGTCACCAACGAATCGACGACTGAATTAGTTNGCAGAAAGAAGTCCAGTCATTTAAGCCGATGGTAGGCAGTAGAATGGTCTCATTTGAATTAGCGAAAGCAATGCAATGATTTTTAAATGAATATTGTTAGTCAAATCATTGTTTATTCAGTAAGTAGCAGAGGGGGGGGACTCGAGTCACATGTTTTTGGACTTGAGACTTGCTTGACTAACATTGATAAAAGACTTGACTTGGAATTCATGACTTGAAAGGACTTTACTTTTTAAAATTAAATATTTGTATTTGTTTTTGTATTGTAGGGTATGGAAGCCCATTTCCGCCACTTATAAAAAATAAAATCCCCATGTAAAGTCATAATGAGATAAAAAGTCATAATTATGAGATAAAAAGTCGAAATTATGAGATAAAAAGTCATAATTATGAGATAAAAAGTTGAAATAATGAGATGAAAAGTCATAATTATGAGATAAAAAGTCGAAATAATGAGATAAAAAGTCGAAATAATGAGATGACTTTTTTATCTCATAATTATGACTTTTCAATGGGGATTTTATTTTTTTCAAGTGGCGGAAA